ACATCAACTCACCTACCATATAATGAATGGCTTCATTCAGCAACGCTCTTAAGACTAGAATCTAGAGCATCCCTTCCTATACAGCAAACTTCCTCCTCATTTTCCTTACCTTCTTAATTCTCGCTTCAACGCTTGAGTCCTCTGACGAACCAATACCTACCATCTACAGATACTTTAATTGACCTTGTTTTGCTTGACTTGGCTGCCCATATCCACCCCCGGGGCCTTGGCTTGGGCCTCCACTGTCTGCCCAATACGCCCTGCCCCCTCATCTCTCTTTACGGTACGGTACGAGACGACGGCACGATATTCTGAGAGCCTGGCGTGTCCATTGTTGCTCTTCTCAATACACACGCTGTAGCTGCTCTTAGTTCTATTAGGACGGCCTGGGTTAGTCTGTTCTCCCGCAATTTTGCCTAATCCGTTCCTACAGGACAGAAAAGGACAGGACCTGCGCAACGAGACCCAACTCGATCCATCTCCAACTTGGTGAGCGCACACTGCACCCGGCCCAACCAGCAATCAGCTGCCAGCCAACCATCACATCCCATCCATTTTCTCCGTGCTCTCTGCATTGGATTGTAGCTAGCAGCTAGCAACTCGACGCTACACTACACCATCCAGACCCTTCTCCTCTTATTCTCATTTTTCTCACTCCCATCCTTCGTCCTCCCGCCCCCCCGTCGTTGGGATCTCATCGACCGTCGACATCACCGTCTACGCCCGATAACCACGCATTACGCATCTCCACTCGCGACAACCACCACCACAACAACGATTTCACTGCTGAACACCGACCGCCTCTACTTAATCGCGGCGAGCAACCTGACGCTGTCGCCCTAAGCTGCTCGATTCAGCTTCCGCACCAGCCAGTCAGCGCAATGGATCCTCAGTGGCAGCAATATCCCTCCGCGAACTCGCCTGGCTCCTCGAGACGACACAACGGCAATCCCCAAGCCCCTCGAGACTACACCAACCAGCCCCCGCCTCAAGGCGGATACAAATACGACCAGTTCCACGGCGGCGCCCCCGTCCATTCTACTGCTCCGCCTGCTTCTGCTCCTGTTGGTAACCCCAACTCAGCCGCATCTCCAATCTCACCTTCGCAGATACGCGACGGCAACGGTGACGTCGCTATGCACGATGCTCATGATGCTCATGCTGGTATCAAGTACCCCATGAGGCCCCTTCATCAAGCTCACATGTCGGGCAGCCGCCCTGTCAACCTCCACTCACCTCAAGAGTCTTCTTCCGTCGCTCAACGATACTCGCCCATGGAGGCCCTGTCCCCCACTTCCCCTTACGCGCCTAAGTCGGCTTCAAACAGCCAATTCACAAGCCCGACCTCCCAGCGACAGTCGCCTACACGCCAGCCTGATTATTCTCAATCTCCATATTTCCCCGGCGCCCGCCAACACCAGCAAAGCCAGCACCTTCCTCCTATCAACCCTTACGCGTCCGCCAGTCAACAGGAAAATTATCCCTCTTCGGCTGTCGGCAATCTCGATGCTGCTTTTAACCTGGACCCCAAGTCTCCGAGACGGCCTGTGCCCCAGCAAGTGACAAGGGGCCCAGTACCCGAGTTCAAGCAACTCTCCTCGCCCTCAGATCTGCAACCTAAGGTCAATTCACAGCCTGCGTTCCGTCGCGCCAACCCTGAAGGCGGTTTCATCAGTGTATGTTTTCAAGCCTCTACAGCTTTCCAGACAAATTTACTCACGATATAATCAGCCTCTCCAAGCTCTTACTGTTCAATTACCTGCCACTTATCGCATCTGTAACCCTAGCTTCAAATATGAGTCGTCGCGCAATCCTCGCAGAGTCTTGACCAAGCCCAGCAAGGGCACCAAGAACGATGGCTATGACAACGAAGACAGTGACTATATCCTCTACGTCAACGACATTCTTGGATCTGAAGAGGCCGGCCACAAGTATGTTGTGTAAAATTGAAGTATGTCGCTTGTAATTCTAACAGACTCTCTAGAAACCGTTACCTCATTCTGGATGTCTTGGGTCAGGGTACTTTTGGGCAAGTCGTGAAATGTCAGAATCTCAAGACACAAGAAGTAGTGGCTGTCAAGGTCATCAAGAATCGTACTGCCTACTTCAACCAGAGCATGATGGAGGTTTCGGTCCTCGATTTGGTACGGCCATCAATTCCATACTTCAAAGGTTGGCACTAACAAAAAGTAGCTCAACACGAAGCTTGACAAGAACGACGACCACCATTTGTTGCGGCTTAAAGACACTTTCATTCATCGCCAACATCTCTGCTTGGTCTTTGAGCTCCTTAGCGTCAATCTTTACGAGCTTATCAAACAGAACCAGTTTAGAGGACTCAGCACTACTTTGGTTCGCGTGTTTGCCCAACAGCTTCTCAACGGTCTCGCACTGCTTAACAAGGCTCGTCTGATACATTGCGATTTGAAGCCTGAGAACATTCTTCTCAAGAACCTCGAAAGTCCCATCATCAAGATTATTGATTTCGGTTCAGCCTGCGACGAGCGACAAACAGTGTATACCTATATTCAATCTCGATTTTACAGGTCTCCTGAGGTTTTACTTGGTCTCCCTTATTCCTCAGCCATCGATATGTGGTCCCTTGGATGCATTGTGGTGGAGCTGTTCCTGGGACTTCCCTTGTTTCCAGGATCTTCTGAGTATAATCAGGTCTCGCGAATTGTTGAAATGTTGGGCAACCCCCCGAACTGGATGATCGAAATGGGCAAGCAGGCGGGCGACTTTTTCGAAAAGCGACAAGATGAGTTCGGAAGACGGACATACCAGCTTAAACCCATGGAACAATATGCCCGAGAACGTGGCACCAAGGAACAGCCTAGCAAGAAGTACTTCCAGGCCAACACCCTTCCCGAGATTATCAAGTCCTACCCCATGCCTAGGAAGAACATGAAGCAGAGCGAGATAGATAGAGGTAAGACCCGAACTGATAGTAATGTCATGTACACTCGTGCTAACCGTGACAGAAATGAACAACCGCATCGCGTTTATTGACTTTGTCCGCGGCCTTCTTACAATCAACCCTCTCGAGAGGTGGTCTCCCCAGCAAGCCAAGCTTCATCCGTTCATCACACAACAGAAGTTCACTGGACCTTTTATACCACCCATGAATCTCAAGTCTAGCTCGCTGAATAGGTCTCCAGCACCTGGCACCCAGCAACAGCAGCAGGCCGAAGCACTTAGCAAGCAGCGGGCTCAAGCGGCAGCAGCTCAACACCAAGCACAACAACAGGCTGCTTCGGCTGCTCCTACCCCTTATGTTAACCAGTACGCGCCTCAAGGTCATGCGCAACCGCAAATGTACGGAAACAACTCAATGTATTCTCCCGGAGGCAACCACGCCAACATGCCATCGGCATACGGCCAGCAACAACAACACGGGCAGTATGGACAAATGGTCATGTCCCAACCGCCTCAGCAGATGCCCCAGGGGCAATATGCACAAATGCCCCAGCCCAACATGTATCAGCATCAACAAGGTGGTATGAGGCCAGCACGCCAACGGGCTTCGACCATGGAGCAGCAACAGAGTGGTATTCCCGCTGCCATCCAACGAGTAGCTAGCCATCTCGACCCCAGTCAGCCGATTCGTTTACAGCCTAGCCCGGCGTACTACCCGCCCACTGGAGAAAGCATGGCGTCTGGCAGCATCGATAACCGCACGGCAGCAGGCCGAAGAGGTAGCCGCGCCCAACAGGGTGGTCGAGGCAACAGGGACTTCATCCGCAACTTGGAGGAGCGCACTTTGGAAGAAGGTTTTATGGGAAACCAGAGCACCTGGCATTGAAGTGGCGTAACCTAACGAGGGACCAGATGTCCGCGCCAATCTGTGATACGAGCGACTTCACTCGATAAACGAAGCCCTACCGCCGAAGTCTATGCGTCATAGCGTGCAACAGGCCGGAATTCATGGTTGGTAACGAAGCAAAATTCCATGGTGGTTCTAATGTACTAGAAGTCCGTCCTCCCTTCGAAACCCATGCGCCAACGAAGCAAGAGACGTCACACGCCATATGTGCATGCTCGGAATTATCCAGTCGACTTGGTCGGAATTGGCTAAGAGGAGGCGTGGCCCCAGGTCATGGTCAGGCAAATGGAACTTCAGCGCCAAGATCTCAGTGAACTCGAAGCAATGATTTTCAGACTCGATTACAAAGCTTCAAGCATTTATCACAGGAATAGGTTGAGCCAAATTACACAGATCCGTGATGAAAGGGGTAGTACTTTACAGAATTTCTTTGTCTCGACACGATGAAGCACGCCTCAGAAACGGCCGCAGAAGTTATGAGTTTACTCTCGGGGCGGCTTTCTATTTTTCTCTCGTTATGTTTCCTGTCGTCAGTATAGCACTTGGAGGGGCGGGGTTTCTGGTCAGGAATTCAACATGGTGCAGAGTTGCCAAATCTCGGCTGAATATTATTCATGCCTAGTGTAGCCTGGCTGTAGATATTGTCATGCTTGTCGCGACTTTTGGTGTACGATGACGGACGGACCACGCTTGGCATATCATGGGGTAAGGTTCTTGGGTTACAATTCCCATCTTGTAGTTGTATTGGTATTATTTGGGTTTGGGCGGCTTCAAAGGGGTCATTTCTGGGCGGACGAATCGAGGCACAAAATCATGAACTACCCCTGATGAATGCGAATGGGTCTCTATCCTCAAGTGATACCATTGTCGGGAGCTGGGACAGTGAGCCGCTTCTACATGGTCGTAACGGGTACCCATTTTTAGGGATACCCGAAATATAAAGAGAGAGAAAAAGATGAAATGATTAGCTTTAATAGCCCGTTTTGGACGTGTGAACCCCGAACGCCCAGCCCAAAATTTCGTTCACCCACTGCTCCCATTGTTGTGGTTCGCAGTAAAAATGGGCGGCATTTTCAATGCCGACAGGTCTGTTCTCTAGAAACCATATCCCAAAAAGTTTGCGAGGTAATCGCCAAATGCAATCAAGGGAAAACAAGAAACAGGAAATAATTCATCATCGCCCGGCGCGACCTCTTTGACCACCTCGGCCTCGTCGGTTGCCGCCCACGATTTTATCGCTGTACAACTGGTTGTTCCTTGGCAAGCCGTTTGTGGCGGTTGTGTCCATTAAATCAGGGAAACCCATCGAGCCATCAACAATGTTGTCGTTGGCGTTGGGTTTGTTTCCGCGGGTGCCACGGGGACCGCTTGGGGCGTTTCTTGGCGCATTGCTAGACGCAATTGTCTTGCTTGAAGGAGCCCCGAGCTTAGGGTAGACCTTAATGATTCTACCATCAGCCTGTAACAAGTTTTAGCAAGAGTTCGGAATAGAAATTGGTCCCGATAGACTCACGGTCTTATCGTTGAAGGTCTCGATTACTCGCTCACCACCCTCGCGCGATGCAAAGGCTAGCTCGAAGAGGAGGAATGGGTTTGACTTGACAATGCGACAGCTCAAAATCTCGCCTCCGATGGGAGTCATAGCGCTCTCGATATCAGCGGCTGTGGTGCCAGGGGCAAAGTTTTGTGCCATAATAGTGAATGGACCTGCGAGACCCCGAATCGTCATCCCCATGCCATTGCCATTGCCATTGCCATTGCCATTGCCAGCGCTACCCTTGCCTTTCACGACGTTGACTTGTTGTGGCGCGTCGCCAGAAGTGTCCATGCGATCCACGGCAGCGGACAGACGAGCAGCGCGGCGGTTGTTGGCTCTCTTATGAGCAGCATTGGGAGCTGAAATGCGAGAGCTTAGGTCGCCTGAGACGGAGTGATGCAGATCATGTGTCCATTCTCCGTTGACATTGCCAGGTGCGGGCTGGGCCGAGCGGGTGCCGATGGTGGAAGTTCGCTGCTGTACATGTTGGCTTCAACTACTCGCATCCTGTCTTTTGCTGTAGCTACCTTCTTGACGCCGACACGGCTTGCTAGTGATTGGCCGGGGGCGGACTTGAGCTTGGAGGGTGCGCTTTGGCGACGGTTCTTTGAGAAAATGCGATCGGCGAGGGCTTCGTTCTTCTTTCGCTCACGCCCTGAAAGACGCTGTCAGGGAAGGACATGAATAACTTGGGAACATTGATTGCAACTTACCCTCGTTGATGATCTTTTCGAAATCTGTGGCAACCTTGGCCATGATTGAGGCAGTATCAAGGAGACTCGTTACACGGCGGAAATGGATGAGTATAGTAAGATGAGTTCAGAAGGACAAGGGATGGCTGATGATACTTGGAGGATTAAACAATTCGCTTGTTTTGTCGTGTCCCTCCCTCCCTATAAAGGTTAAAAGAAAAGAAACGATGGCTAGACTGGACTGCGACCGCGAAGCGCGTCTCCAATTAGAAATGGGAGAGATTTGTTAGTGACCTGCAGGGGTATCCAGAAACCTACCTAGGGGTGGCTCTATGGTACCTTAGTAGGTAGTAGTTATCAGGTGCCTCAAGCGCGGCAAAGTTAAGCGCATCTCATGCAACGCCCCTCGCTCAGCTGATAAGATAGGAGTCTTCTTTTTTCCCCCAGTTGGTCGCCTCTAATTTTGGATGTGGAATTTCGTGATCAACCTAGTTACCTGCAATCAAGCAGCAACTCTTACATGGCTGATAGGTTACTGCATGGAGGCGCGTGCCTTCGAAGAGCTCTGCAGTTCGCACCGCGCCAGAGACTAGAGATTCGGCCTGCGTCTGCTTTTCAAACCCGTTCGTTTCAGCACTCACAGCGCATATTCAACTCGACGACGATACCGACTACCGAGGAGTCGACTACAGCTCAAGACGCAAACTCTATAGCTGATGCTATCACGAAAGATGCTCCAAAAAACCTCGAGGCACCGGCTGATGGACCTTTATGGAAAAAGAAGGAAAACCTTAGAATGGAGCGGGCCGTCAACAAGGAGTTACAATATCTGAACAATGACCCTTGGAAAGTTGCAGAATATGTCAGAAAAGCACTTGAGGCAAAGAAATTCGATCAAGCCCATCTTTTGGTTCAAAAAGGCAGCAAAGATATGCAATTGGTCGTGCCATGGAATTTCCTCTTGGAATATCTGCTTGACCAGCAACAAGTCAAGGCAGCAATCAAGCTGTTCAACGAGGTAGGCTTGAGATACAGCCTTCACTCAGGCTCTTGTCTCGTCTATGACACTGACATTATCTGAAGATGAAAAAGCGCGCTCAGTTCCCCAATGCGCAAACCTATACAACCCTGTTCCGTGGTCTCGCCAAGTCGAACCACCCTAAAACCGCTGTCTTCGAGGCTGTAAAGCACTACAACGCCCTTTTCAAGGACTCTCGCCTAGAACCAAACAGTACTCATCTGAATGCTGTGCTTAGCGTGTGCAACCGAGCGGGCGACCTGGACTCCATGTTCTCCATTGTCGACACTCTCAACGAGTCAACTCGAGCTCCAACTTCCTACACCTATACTACCATTCTCAATGCTATACGATTCAACACGCTTGATGGCTTGGAAAAATTGACGCCCGAACAGAAGGAGTTCAATCTCAAAAAAGGTTGTCAGCGCGCCAAAGCCATCTGGTCAGAAGTTATGAGTAAATGGAGGCAGGGACGTCTGATCATTGACGAGGAGCTCGTCTGCTCAATGGGTCGTATGATGATCATCTCAAGCGACACCAACGACAAGAAGGGGGTTCTTGATCTAATCGAACAGACAATGAACATTCCCAACTTGTCCAAAGTCAAAGAAATGCCAGCTGAGGAAGCTCGCAAGACAAATCCTCGCACCGGTCAAGTGGTTAAGAAGGATAAAAATGGTGTCTTTGTCAGTCCTGGGAACAATGCCTTGTCTCTAATCTTGAAGGTTGTGCTGCAGACGAAGCTCAACAGCCTGGGCATCAAATACTGGAATTTCATTCTTCGCGAATATAATCTCGAGCCTGACCGGGATTGCTGGTTGCGCCTCTTTAGTATTCTAAAGCAAGCCAAGGCAAGCGGTCATGCTACTGAGATTCTGGATATAATACCGGCGAGTATCACTGGACCAAACTTCTATCGCATAGCTTTTGAAACATGTGTTCGTGATAACATCAACCCAAACGTCATCAAGAATGCCAACCGCGCGCTCGACAGCATGGTGAATCACCTAGAGTTACCCGACGCTCATCTCATGCGCCTGTACCTCAACGTTTCTCAGTCTACCCACTATCACTTGCGCGCTCGTGCTAATGACGGGGACGTGGCTGGTGCCAAACGTGCCTATGGCGTCCAAATCACCGACGCGCTTGATCGTCTGTGGGTGCCCTACCGCAAACTACACGATCACTACTTCAAACAAGTCAAGGCTGAGACCAAGGAACAAAAGAGGGCTCTTTACAACGATCAACGCGAGGTAATTGCTCTCGCACGCATTATGTATGGATCATTCAACAAGGTCATTCAGCAGGAAATGCTCCCTGAGGAAGACCTCAAGAGAATACGCCCTGTCGGGGGACGCATCAATCGCGAGATTCAGGCCTTTTATGCCAACCGGGAGGAAATGGAACCCAACTTGCGCAAGACGAAGGGTCGCGGCAAAGCCGAGGAGGATATGTCCACACACGATGAGGCCATGAATACGGCCAACTTTTGGGACACCACTCAAGCAGGAAAGCCCCGATCCCTGAAGCAGACAGACCGACGGCAGTTGCATCGTGACAACGGACCAGGTGATGGCTACCGACGCGAAGAAAGCTCAAGGTCCGGACCAAGTCCGCCAAGGCGTGCCCCCTTCACGTACAATACATACCTTACAGACAGTCAGACGCCATCCAGAACGCAAGAACCAGAAAACGATCTGCGCCAGCGCAAAGACGGCACGCGGCCAGTGAGGCAACCCGATTATGTTGGCTATCGAGGACCCCATCCTAGCTGGGGCGCGACTCGTGACGACAGGAAGGCCGACCGCCGTTTTGGCAACCCGCGACGTTAAGGCTCCTGCATATTGGAGTTTAGAGTTACGCTTGGGTCTACAAATAAGAGCTTTCAATGGGAAAAGCTCGTGTAAAAATAGACTGATGTATGTACGATTGAGATGCAAAAAAGAGTGCGAAGATGTACTGATATAGCATATGGCGGCGTTTTGTTGGGCGATAGCATTTCTCTGCATATACAATACATCGCTTACACAATTGAAGCCTTGGTCCTGTTGAATATTTGTCATAGTCTAGGCCGTCACAAGCTTAAGCATGCAACGTTACTCTCCCATGACTATCCATTCTGCTCTATTTTTATCTCGGTCAAGAATAGGTAAACAAAAGTAGCCAGTCTCTGCTGCTAGTTCAATACCTTCTATTCTATGGCCAGCTTTATAGCTCCTTGTTAGGTCCATCCGAAACAACAAAATACCCTGGGAGCAATCAAGCCCAGCAACTTCACTCAAGTTCGAATTGAGACGACGAATCAAGATAGAGATCCGAGGCCACTGTACGATACATTGACCTGCTGCCTTGGCTGGATGATCGATCTGAGAGCTGTGATTGCGTATTCGACGTTGATGAATCCATGGCTGACGGTTGATCGCCTGCTTTGATAGCCAAGTAAGAACTCTCGAGTACATTTGTGGGTGGTTGAAACGTGGTGGCCGAGGTGCAGAACGGCGAGCACTGGCCAGGCTCTTGCATTGGATTATCTTGCATTGATAGCAATTTGTCCGAATTACCCTGAGTCCAGTTTGACGAAATCTGACCTATTTGCGGGTGGTTATAGCCTCCAGATTTGTTAAAACTGCCAAGGGAGCCGACTAGTGTCACAGGAGCAACTGAATCGCAAGAGGATAGGTGCCTCGTAATGGATAGTGTCTTGCGCTCTACAGGCTGTAGTGTAAGTGCTGCCGAGACCTTGGGACGCGTTGTGATGTGATCACACTTAGTAGTGGAGAGCAGCGATTTGTTTTCCAGACGCTTATCATCTGGTGCCGCTTCTATGCAAGCTCGCAAAGTATATGATCTTTCCAGGCTACAGCTAGACATGTCAGGAAGAGGATCTAACTGAGGTGGACCTTGGTCGATAACTGGTGAAGGGGGCGCGAATTCAGAGTCCTGCAGGAACGGCTTGGATGACTGGGAGGTCTGGATGCGCGACCCAAATGGAAATAGTGTATGGTTACTCGAGGAACTCCCATTGCGAGTCCATCTCTCCCTGGAGTATTGGAATGCGCTGCTGAGATCTTCCGCTTAAATAGAGTCAGGTACGCCGCAAGAGAGTACGCATTAGTCAACCCACCTGTGTTGAGGAGATGAGGAACTCCCGGGACTTCAGAGACAGACAGTTTCTCGAAGTTTGTTGAAGAGGAAACAGTCTTCCGTCGTTTCGGTTTCAACCAACGCGCAAGATGAGAATACGACGAATTCTGAGAATTTGATCTTTGACTTCTGCGCTGTGTTGACGTATTCTCGCTAGGTCCACTAGAATTAGTTTCTTCAGATCCATCGAGACGAGCCCGGCGGCGATTCAGTGGCAGTCTCTAGCTGCTAATCTTGCTGTGAGGCTTGGAAAGCTCAGGGAACGGAAGCGGGGGCTGAGGTTGAGGTTGAATCTTTTTCTTGAGCTTCGCCTGCCAGGCACCAAAGATACTGTTGGGCATGATGTAAGTAAATGAGGTATGGATGGGATCGGGTATAGATGGTGTGACAAGACAAAGATGGTTCAATCTTGACTGATGCTCGGTGAAAAAAAGGCGGCCTAGGTACATACTCAAGGTACTATACCTACTACTTACCTACTAACCTAGGTAAGGTAGGTAAGGTAGGTAAGATAGGCACCTACCTAGGTAGTAGGCAGGTAGGAAGACATCCACTGGTAGAGAGTACCTACCTTAGGTACCTAAGTACAGGAACAAGTTGAGAATTTGTGTTACTTTGGGAAGGGTTCTTTGACTGAGCTCGCAGTCAAATTCCATGGGTAGCTCTTTCGAAGAGCTTATAAAAGAATATCCGTAAGGAAGGAGTGAATTACTGACCAGTGCATTATCACCACCACCAACACCAATTGCCTAAAGTGTATCAAGACTAATAATCACAACGAATTTCTGGAAAGGGGATGTCCTGGAATTTCAGCTCCGACCTGCATTTCATTAAAATACCTACAAGCTGAACGTATGGATCTCTAATGCATGGTCAGGTAGTCACTGTCACTACCTATGGAT